TAATATGGACATCTCTCTAATATGAACACCTCTCTAATATGGACATCTCTCTAATATGAACATCTCTCTAATATGGACATCTCTCTAATATGGACACCTCTCTAATATGGACACCTCTCTAATATGGACACCTCTCTAATATGGACACCTCTCTAATATGGACACCTCCCTAATATGGGCACCTCTCTAATATGGGCATCTCTCTAATATGAACATCTCTCTAATATGAACATCTCTCTAATATGAACATCGCTCTAATATGAACATCGCTCTAATATGAACATCGCTCTAATATGAACACCTCTCTAATATGAACACCTCTCTAATATGGACACCTCTCTAATATGGGCACCTCCCTAATATGAACATCTCTAATATGGGCACCTCTCTAATATGGACACCTCTCTAATATGGACACCTCTCTAATATGAACATCGCTCTAATATGAACATCTCTCTAATATGGACATCTCTCTAATATGAATATCTCCCTAATATGAACATCTCTCTAATATGGGCACCTCTCTAATATGGGCATCTCTCTGATACGGATACCTCTCTGATACGGATACCTCTCTAATACGAACACCTTTCTAATACGGACACCTCTCTAATATGGACATCTCTCTAATATGGGGACCTCTTTAACACGAACACCTCTCTAATACGAACACCTTTCTAATACGGACACCTCTCTAATATGGACATCTCTCTAATATGGGGACCTCTTTAACACGAACACCTCTCTAATACGAACACCTTTCTAATACGGACACCTCTCTAATATGGACATCTCTCTAATATGGGGACCTCTTTAACACGAACACCTCTCTAATACGAACACCTTTCTAATACGGACACCTCTCTAATATGGACATCTCTCTAATATGGGGACCTCTTTAACACGAACACCTCTCTAATACGAACACCTTTCTAATACGGACACCTCTCTAATATGGACATCTCTCTAATATGGGGACCTCTTTAACACGAACACCTCTCTAATACGAACACCTTTCTAATACGGACACCTCTCTAATATGGACATCTCTCTAATATGGGGACCTCTTTAACACGAACACCTCTCTAATACGAACACCTTTCTAATACGGACACCTCTCTAATATGGACATCTCTCTAATATGGGGACCTCTTTAACACGAACACCTCTCTAATACGAACACCTTTCTAATACGGACACCTCTCTAATATGGACATCTCTCTAATATGGGGACCTCTTTAACACGAACACCTCTCTAATACGAACACCTTTCTAATACGGACACCTCTCTAATATGGACATCTCTCTAATATGGGGACCTCTTTAACACGAACACCTCTCTAATACGAACACCTTTCTAATACGGACACCTCTCTAATATGGACATCTCTCTAATATGGGGACCTCTTTAACACGAACACCTCTCTAATACGGACACCTCTCTAATACAGATATCTCTCTAATACTGACATATCTCTAATACTGACACTTCTCTAATACGGACACGTCCCTAATACGGACACCTCTCTAATACGGACACCTCTCTAATATGAATATCTCTCTAATACGAACATCTCTCTAATATGGACATCTCTTTAATATGGACACCTTTCCAATACGGACACCTTTCCAATACGGACATATCTCTAATACGGACATATCTCTAATACGGACATATCTCTAATACGGACATATCTCTAATACGGACATCTCTCTAATACGGACATCTCTCTAATAACGACACCTCTCTAATATGGTCATCTCTCTAATACTGATATCTGTTTAATACGGACATCTGTCTACTACGGACATCTCTCTAATACGGTCATCTCTCTAACACAGACACCACTCTAATACGGACATCTCCCTAATACAGGCAGCTCTCTAATACAGGCAGCTCTCTAATACGGGCACATATTTTTTGTCCTAGATGGTACGAGTTATAGCTAACCTTTCTATTCATCCTGAAGTTGGGCCTGAAATTGCAAAGAACATGGAAATAGTGGAACTTTTAGTACAAGTCTTAGGTATGTTTTATATAAACATTTTTGATGTAATGGAAACCTATGTAATGACTAGTAACTGATCGTAGAACTTGTTTCCTCTTCGGCTGAAATAACAAGATACGGTTTCAGTTTTAAGATAAGATTTCTGTTTTGGTGAGCGGATTTCCGAACAGGCTGTTGCCAATTGATAGGGGATCCGAGGTACCTACGATTATAACGTCCTTATCTGAGAAGACACGAAAGTCTAACCATTTACTGATGTCCATGTAAAGGTAGCACTTTCTTCTCAATTATTTTAAGACCTTGAGTAGAGGTCCGATCAAGGATTGAACCCGGGTCTCCCAGCTTGAGAGGCAAGCGTGATGACCATTGATTGGCTGCATAAAGGCCCCATGTGAAAACAAATATAGTGTGTACCAATGAATAATTTTTCATAATCTCCACAAATCTGTTTAGAAGTGAAAGACCTAACAAACAGCGAGGAATTGGTCCTTAACACAGTTGCTACTATCAATAATCTATCCTATTACACTGAAGAGAATACGGCTTTAGCGACCAAACGTGGGACTATAACACAATGTAAGTTGACAATTTGTTGTTGTTGTTGTTGTTGTTGTTGTTGTTGTTGTTGTTGTTGTTGTTGTTGATACTGTTGATACTGTTGATGTTGTTGATGTTGTTGATGTTGTTGATGTTGTTGATACTGTTGTTGTTGTTGTTGTTGTTGTTGTTGTTGTTGTTGTTGTTGTTGTTGTTGTTGTTGTTGTTGTTGTTGTTGTTGTTGTTGTTGTTGTTGTTGTTGTTGTTGTT